CCTCTCAGCAGGCCAGTTCTTTGGAAAACATGTCGTTAAAAAGAAGGCCAGTGAGGGAGAGGGCCCAGCCCTGCTACTGAAGTTATTATTATTATTTTTTTTTTTTGAAGAAAACTTGGACCCACTCAACAGTTTTAAGCAGGGGAGTGACATGATGTGAGCTGTGTTGACAAGCCAGAAATGTGAGTACATTTAAAAAGAGAGAGAAGAAAAACCTCCATTAGTCCAAGACGACAAATAAGAAAATAACCTGTCGCAGGAAGCCATTGGAGGTAGCGAACGAGTGCGTGTGGGATCCGTGTAACACTTTTAGACTCCCTTCCTCTTGCACACCCCCTCTCCATCTGTCGCACAGGGCACTGGGAAGACGCAAGGAGGAACATTCCAGCTCTGGGGGCTCCAGAGCTCAGCAGCTCAATTGGGGGGGGGGGCTCTTAGGGAGCCACATCACTCCCCAGGCATTGTCATCTGTGAGGGCCAAGGGACTGTCAGCGTTTCCATCCGAGAAATACTGTGATTCAGTTAGAAGCTTCTGCCCCAGAGGAATCCTCCTACAAACCTCCATCTAAGCCCAAGGCCTGGGCCTCCAAACTCTCCAGCTTGCTTGAGTCATTAAACTTCTCCTTCCCTCAGAGCCACCCAGGGAGGTGTGCATTCAAAACCCAGGCCCCTACCACATACTCCTTGGACAAGTTTTGGCCTTGGGTAATTAGTTCTGGGAGTTTGTGGATGGTGCCAATGGTTAACTTATTCGACTGCTAACTGAAGGTTGGAGGACTGAGTCTACACAGAGGCACCTTGGAAAAAAGGTCTGGCGATCCACGTCTGAAAAAATCAGCCAATGAGAACGTTTTAGACTAAATACCTCATAGGATTTGGCTCCTTGATTTGGAGATTTAGGGTCATGATTTCATGGGACAGCCACTGAATTGGCTTAATAGTATGTTTAGTGCTCTGTTCTACCTCTTCATTTGTTGTACAGTGCCTGGGATCTTCAAAGCTGGCCAGTGGCCAGGTAGGCACAACAATTGGTTTCTATTCACCTAGGAGCTCTGGTAGCATAGTGCCTCAGGCACTTGACTGCTAACCAGGAGGCTGTCGGTTCAAACTCACCAGCCACTCCTCAGAAGGAAGGTTGGGCAACCTACTTCCATAGTGATACTGCCTCAGAAACCCAAGGAGGAGTTGCTATGAGTCAGATCTGACTCGATGGCAGTGTGGTTTTTTTTTTGGTTTTCACCTGGAGCAAAAGGAAGGAGGAGAGTCAGGAATAGGAAGAAGACATGGAATATGTGACTAATTGTCTCCATGAACAACTGCTTCTTTTGCCGTGATAATAGAACTGGATGAGGCCTGGCTACCATTACTGAACACTGATCAAAGATTCCATAGGAGAATCCTGATCAAAAGAGGAGAAATGCAGAACAGAATTTCAAAGTCTCACGCGCTCCAGACTTTCTGGAGCCATGCAAGCTGGATGAACTACTGAGAACTACTTCCCTAACATAATCTTTAAACCTTAAACCAAAAATATCCTCAGAAAATCTTCTTAAAGCCAAACAGTAGTTTAACTTAACCAGTAAAGAATGTTTGTCTTCATGAACACTGTGCTCTTTTAAGAACTATCTGTATGGGATCATATTGACAACAACAACTCGAAAGATTAGACAGGAACCTTAGGGGGCAGTAAGTATATGTTAATGGAGGAGGAACAAGTCAGAAAAGGAGAGTAAGAACAGTTGTATTACTCACAGAATGTCATCAGCGTAACCAAATGGTATATGGAGAAATGGTTGAATGGGTGTATGCCATCCTGTGTGTAGTCACAACAACAAAAATAAAATAAATTATTAAAAAAAAAAAAAGAAAGAAAGAAAAGAAAACTGTATGGAGCATAGTTCTACCTTGACACATGTGAAATCACAATGAGTCAAAGTTGACCCAATGGCAATTGGTAATCAGTTCTGGACTCAATTTTCCTCATCTGTACAAAGGGGATAACAGCTGCCTCATGCTTTGCTTTGCTGATTTAAAGAGTTTATGCAGATAAACTCCTCAGTGCACAGCCTGGCATATGGTTGAAATTCAATGAACATTGGCTCTCCCCGCTTCACTAACACATGGTTCACATCAGGACCTCATATGTGCTGAATGACTGCACGAAAAGGAATGAATCACACCAAAGGTCTCTACGGGGTTGCTAAAGGAACAGCTAACGGCCAGAGAATATCCAGAGAACACCACGGGCTTAAAGGACCTTCCAATAGTGCCAGCACATCAGGGCCAAAGCCCCCTTCCTCCTTCTCATCCTACGAAAGAGGAAGTGAGTTTAACTTTATCATTTAGGAAAGTACAGAGGAGTCACCAGCACGCTGCTCTGATGCACTAAATGTCAAAAGCTTGCCAGAGGGCCCAGCTGTCCCCCAACTTGCTTGGCATGAACCCCAAGTTGGCCTAGTCTCTGGTCCAGGGCAGAGGGAAGGAGTGAACAGGAACTCCTCTGAGGTTTGTCAGGAAGGGGGGTGACTTAGAGCTCCCAAGTCCTGGGTAGGGGCAAGAGAGCACCCCACAGGTTCAGCTTGCTGGCTGCAGTCCCAGAGCCCCTGCAGAGGCTGCGGAATCAGGCTGCCCAGATGTCCCCAAGCCCCGGCCCCTTGCCTAGTTTCAGCATCTCTCTCCACACAGCTGTTTTAGAACACAGGCCTCCCATTGGATCCAAGAATGCAGGTTGATGACTTCACCACCATCTTTTTAGAATTTCCCTTTGGCAGCCTTTGTGCCGAGAGCAATCTTTAGAAACTTCTTCTCCTGCCTCCCCCAACCAAGATAATTCATATGACCAGCCCCCTTCACCCGGTGATCATGTGAAGCCGCAGCCATCATGTGACACCTCCCAGGCTGACAGTTCTGCCCGACACATTAGTAGTCATTCAATCCCAAGCCGCCTTGCTAAGCCTGACATTTGAGTTTCTCACTCAAACAAATCCATTTTCTTAGAAAATTGGACAACTGCCTTCTTCTACCTTCATGCCCTCTGTCCTGTCTCACTTCTGCTTTGTCATAAATTCTATGCATGGCGCCACTGAAGGAGGGGCCAGAAGCCTTTAGTGTCTTTGGTCAAACCAGGTGAATTCCATGGCCAGGTCTAGAGGATGATTACAGGACCCTGTAGAAGAGGATGAAGGGTTCTGGGAGGCTTGAGCCACAATGGTGACCCCCCATCCCCTTCCCATCACCCTCAACTAGGAAATTCATTCTTGCCTCCCGAAATTGATTTATGTTAAAGTTAATCTCAGCCCCTTTGGTGCTCCCACTTTTTCAGGCTATTGATGCTGAATGGATTGGAACGCAAGTTTTACGGCCTAATCTTTACCATTTTATAGATTGTTTTTATAGGCAAAATGGGGAGATTTGCTCACAAGAAGGGTTTGGTGTTCCTAGCCAGCACCCTGGGAAAGGCAGGCCACCCATGTGAACACTCGTTCATCAGGTTCATCAGCGTTACCGCTCATTTGCCAAGGACTGAAGCACAGAGTCCCAGCCGGAGAAAGGTCTGGAATAGACATTTAGAAACTAACTTGGGCCCAGTTCCCTGCTTCAGGAGAATTAAGCCCTAGTGAGAGAAGCTTGTACATTTCCAGGCCAGGACGTGGGGCAGGAACTCCGACTTTTGCAAGGGGCTCAGGCAGGAAGGAGCAGATTGGAAATGCCACTCACCAGAAATATGAAATATATCAATACTTCCTTCCCAGCAAGGACACAACTGGCGATGAAAGGGGGGGGGGCAGGGAGATGCCCATGTGGATTCCCAGGGTTCAGGGAAAAAGGCAGGCCAGAGAGAAGCTGCTGTCCACCCCCACCTCTCTCTCCACCCACTCTTTGCTAGTTCTCCCTTTTTTTCATTGCTGTAAGATGGTTACCAGTCTCTAGGCAAACGCAATGGGAAGGGGTGGGGGGAGTGGATACTGAGCTCATCCTTACCTCCCTCCTCAAGGGTAGGAGGTACAGAGGCCTCTGCTGACACAGTTTCAAGAAGCCAAAAAACAAAATCCCCATTCTGCCCCCACTCTCTTACACGTCACCTCTCTGAACCCCACACCCTCCCAGGAGACCCAGGATTTTGCAAAACCCCTTTAAGAAGCGGGACTCCTGCATGGTGATCTCACCCCTTGGCGAACACACACAGTAGCCTTCAGAGCCCGCCTGCTGGAGACAGCCAGGTGTTTGATGTAGGCCAACAAAAAGACATGCTCAGATCCACAGGTAACAGCCCCACAGAGCACCTGAGCTGCAGGGAGCTGCTGGGAGCTGGAGAAGGCAGGAGGAAGTAGGGAGCCAACGGGAAGGAGGATGGTAGGAAGGGAGAGCAAGGAGCTCAGCCAGGCATAGACAGGCTTCGGCAACCACAGGGACAGTCCGCTGTGTTTTCACATCAGGATCTGTTGTTCACGGCAGCTCACCCCAGGATTACCGTGGCCTCCCTTCCTCTCTCTCTCCCCATACACACTAAGGCTGTTTACTCTGCGTTCCAGAGGGAGAGCCCCCTTCTTCCTTCACTGCAACAGCCTGTTTCTGTTGCATCCCAGGCAGTCAGTAAAGAGATGACCTCTGCCCCCAGCCCCTCGCTCAGACCCAGAAGTCAAACACATGGAAAGCCTAAGTCTTGGACCAGAGACATAGAAAATCCAGGTGTCTTGCTCTGAGAATAGAGACAACCTGCCTCCCCCATGGGGTGGAGGCCGGCTGAGCCAACTCATATAGAATGCCCCAGTGCCCGCTCTGGGTCCAGACAAACAGGCTTCGAGGCAGGGACCGGGTTCTATCCTTGGCTGTGTGACCTTGGGCAAGTGGCTGGCCCTCTCTGAGCCTCAGTTTCCGCATCTGTAACCCAAGTGGTAGGCATCTTTCCCCCTATTACTGCTCGACATTAGCTGACTAGCTCCGAGTGTCTGTCTGAGAGGCCTGAGCCCGCAGTTTGGGGAGGGCAGCAGGGTGCTTACCTGGCCTGGCGCAGGACGCGGCAAGGAGCAGGCAGAGCAGCGGCCCGAGGCGGCCGGGGGCCGGGCCGGCGGGCTCCATGGGCCGCGGCTGCGGAGCGAGGGAGAGCGGCCGTGAGTGCGCGCTCGGGCGGGCGCAGGCTGGAGCGGGGAAATGACTAAGGCTCCCCGCACCCCCTCCGCCTCCCCTTCGGGCCGGGCTGCACCCTCCCGTACGGACACCCGGGGCGGTAAGAAGCCCGGTCCCCGCCGCGGTTTTCGGAAAACCCCCCAGGAGAAATTGAAAGACGGAGAGGGGAGACCCCAAGCGCGCGAGAAATAAAGCCAGAGACTGGCAGAGAGAGGCGGCGGGAGAGAGAAACAGACCCAAGGGAGCCAGGCAGAGAGCCAGAGACAGAGAGGCGAGAGAGGGAGAGAGAAAGAGGGAGAGAGAGGGAGAGAGAGAGCGAGAGAGAGCGAGAGAGAGCGAGAGAG